GTGAGTGAATTGCGAGGAAGTCTCAGTCGGGAGCCCCCTCCCTATGGGGCCCGCACTTCATATTTGAATCCGAGCGGGTCATCCGCAACGTGCAACTGTCGTCACTTTTGGGCTCTTGAGCTATGAATGTGGAGGAAGTCTCGAGCGGGAGCCTCGTCTGTGAGTGAACTGCGAGGAAGTCTCAGGCGGGAACCCCCTCCCTGCGCTTCATGTTTGAATCCGAGCGGGTCACCCGCAACGTGCAACTGTCGTCACTTTTAAGCTCTTGAGATATGAATATGGAGGAAGTCTCGAGCGGGAGCCTCGTCTGTGAGTGAATTGCGAGGAAGTCTCAGGCGGGAGCCCCCTCCCTATGGAGCCAGCACTTCATGTTTGAATCCGAGCGGGTCATCCGCAACGTGCAACTGTCGTCACTTTTGTGCTCTTGAGACTTGAAAATGGAGGAAGTCTCGAGCGGGAGCCTCGTCTGTGAGTGAATTGTGAAGAAGTCTCAGGCGGGAGCCCCCTCCCTATGGGGCCCGCACTTCATGTTTGCATCCGGGCGGGTCATCGGCAACGTGCAACTGTCGTCACTTTTGGGCTCTTGAGATATGAATATGAAGGAAGTCTCGAGCGGGAGCCTCGTTTGTGAGTGAATTGTGAGGAAGTCTCAGGTGGGACCCCCCTCCCTATGGGGCCCGCACTTCATGTTTGCATCCGGGCGGGTCATCCGCAACGTGCAACTGTCGTCACTTTTGGGCTCTTGAGACTTGAATATGGAGGAAGTCTCGAGCGGGATCCTCGTCTGTGAGTGAATTGTGAGGAAGTCTCAGGCGGGAGCCCCCTCCCTATGGGGCCAGCACTTCATGTTCGAATCCGAGCGGGTCATCCGCAACGTGCAACTGTCGTCACTTTTGGGCTCTTGAGATATGAATGTGGAGGAAGTCTCGAGCGGGAGCCTCGTCTGTGAGTGAACTGCGAGGAAGTCTCAGGCGGGAACCCCCTCCCTATGGGGCCCGCACTTCATGTTCGAATCTGAGCGGGTCATCCGCAACGTGCAACTGTTGTCACTTTTGGGTTCTTGAGACTTGTATATGGAGGAAGTCTCGAGCGGGAGCCTCGTCGGTGAGTGAATTGTGAGGAAGTCTCAGGCGGGAGCCCCCTCCCTATGGGGCCCGCGCTTCATGTTTGAATCCGAGCGGGTCATCCGCAACGTGCAACTGTCGTCACGTTTGGGCTTTGAGATATGAATATGGAGGAAGTCTCGAGCGGGAGCCTCGTCTGTGAGTGAATTGCGAGGAAGTCTCAGGCGGGAGCCCCCTCCCTATGGGGCCCGCACTTCATGTTTGAATCCGAGCGGGTCATCCGCAACGTGCAACTGTCGTCACTTTTGGGCTCTTGAGACCTGAATATGGAGGAAGTCTCGAGCGGGAGCCTCGTCTGTGAGTGAATTGTGAGGAAGTCTCAGGCGGGAGCCCCCTCCCTATGGGGCCCGCACTTCATGTTCGAATCCGAGCGGGTCATCCGCAACGTGCAACTGTCGTCACTTTTGGGCTCTTGAGACTTGAATATGGAGGAAGTCTCGAGCGGGAGCCTCGTCTGTGAGTGAATTGTGAGGAAGTCTCAGGCGGGAGCCCCCTCCCTATGGGGCCCGCACTTCATGTTTGAATCCGAGCGGGTCATCCGCAACGTGCAACTGTCGTCACTTTTGGGCTCTTGAGATATGAATATGGAGGAAGTCTCGAGCGGGAGCCTCGTCTATGAGTGAATTGTGAGGAAGTCTCAGGCGGGAGCCCCAGGAGGAAGAGGAAAGGGCAAAGGGTAAGCTAAACAGATTCTCATGCGGGGTCCTACCGTCGGAGTAATTTTGAAAGTCCATGTTGTGGAAACACGTGTTCAAATATATGTGTTGGACATGTGGTTTTGAAGCCCTTACGCAGCAAAATATTTCAAGGATTCCGCATGCGCGCGCGACGACGCGCGCGTGTTCATTTCGTCCCATGTTTTGGCAAGGGGTTCTGGAGAACCTGCGTTTTCCTATAAACGAGCGCGCTCGCATTTTGTTGTTTGCGGAAGATGGCGGGGGGGTGGCTGATACCGGCCCCCTCTGGGATGATGCGAATTCAAGTTTCGGATGGACGATGGGGCGGAATCGTATGTCAATTGCAATACGAAAAGGGGGGGCGGATAATCCCTGGGGGAGATAGATTCTCTTTTAAGCCATGGATTCAATTTTGTTCGCAGTGAATTGTCAACTCTACTGCTCGCGCAATCATTCCTCCTACGCACCCGCAACTTGGTTTGCAAAGCCCGTGTGGTGGCGATTGTGATGCCTGCCTGGCGCTGGTTGGTGCATCTCTGCAGCCGCGCTAACGCGCGCAGGCTCGCGCGCAGAGCGGCCAGCTGGACTGGCGCGACCGACGCGGCCGCGGTGGCGCTGACCGCTGGGCACTTCCCAACGCGTTTCGCAGGCCGGCGCGCGGGCATTTCAATGCGAGTCGGTGATTCGGGCGGGCGCAGTATCATGGCGGTGTCGACAACGACAGACACGATGATGACTGCACCGATGCGAGTGACGACGATGACAACGACGACGGCAATGCAAATGACGGCGCCGATGCTGATCACGCCGATGGCGATGATGGTGTCCACGCGTCGGTGATGGAGATTTTGGAAAGATTTCGACGCGGCCGACGCGTGCAAATGGCCCACATGGTATTATTTGACTACGACCGTGCCCCCCCAGCACGCGAGCACGGGCTTTCAAATGATTTCGGCATGCGCGCGCGAGAGGCCAGCTTGGTCTCATGAAATGAAAATGTTGGAAGCCGATGGCTTCTTAAGGAGTTACAAGAACGCGCGCGCGCAGACCATGTTTCGAAAAAGCGGGCGCTGCCAGACCATGCGTGTATGCTCGCATTTGCAATCCCTTCGAAACCTCAGGTGTACGAAAGATTTCGCGATGCACGCGCGAGGGCGCCATTCTGTTTTTTGTTTGTAACAAAGCAAACCAAAACAAAACAATAAACAAAACATGTGCGCGCATTCCGCCAGCCTCCCACGGGCTGCAGCCGAGGGCGCGACGCGCCGAAATCCGAGGCCCTTTTCGTGAAAGGCACAGCGCGGCGCCCCTGCCGGAACCATATCTTTCGCGTGCTCGCCACGGCGGGCCGGCGCCTGCCGGATGATGACGACGCGGAGCAGGCAGATGAGGCAGAGAGAGGAGGAGGAGGGACGATTGCGGAGAATCTCGTCCCCACCCACCGCTCCGAGCTTCGAGCTCCGAGCTCGGAGTGCCCCCATACCCATCCACCTCCCCCCTTCCTGCCTTGCTCTTCGACGCTCCTCCAAGCCATCCCTGTTCCCTGCCACCCTGCTGCCTCGCTCCTGCCCCCCTCCCCTCCCTCGTCCATCCCCCATCTGCCCCCTTCCTCCTCCTCCCCCCTGCGTCCCCATCTCCTGCCTCGCTCCACGATCTTCCCCCCACCTCCCCACATCCTGTATCCCTCCCTCTTTTTTTTGTCCGGCGGGCGCTGACCGAGCGAGCGGGCGCCGACGCGCCGTGCCCAGGACAGGCCACCTGCACCGAATTGGGGGGCGGAGGGGGGGGGGCCCCACGACCCCGGCCAGCACAGGGGAGTGCGCGGCAGCGGAATGGTGGGGGTCTTGTATCCCCCCCCCCGTACCTCACTCCCTCCCTCGGGGAGACAAAAAAAGGGTGCACTCCCCGGACGTCTCCCAGGGCGCACCCCGGCCAGACTCTCGAAGCGGATCCGCCCCCCGGGGCGGCGAAAGCCAGGGAAGGATAGGGGCATCGGCAGCCTGTCCTCCTCTGATCAAGAGTTTGAACGGGCCCTGGGACACACACACACACACACACACACACACACACACACACACATACACACACACAAATACACACAGATAACAAGAATCCCCATCTTTTTCCAACATTTTCTGGGTTCTTGTCTCCCCCCCCACTTCCCACATGTTCCCATATGTTCGGGGGAATCGACGCTTCGAATTGTGGCTGTGCGTTTTTGTCACTCCTGAGCCCTGTCCTCCTCTGACCAAGAGACTTGCGCTCGCTCTGGGGACCTTCCTGGAGCCGCTCGCTCCGCTCGCGCGCCGCTGCTGCGCGGCACACCCGCGGACTGCAGCCGACCCGAGGCCGCACCAGAGCCAAGCCAGCATCGCACAGGCGCCACAGGAGGCCCCAGGATAGCAGGGGATATGCCGACCCCTATCCCAGGCGTCGTCGGGTTTTCGACTGGACCAGACGTGTGGGGCCCAGCCCTGGGATATTACGATGGGGGGCGTCCATTCTCGATAGGGGTGCGTCCAAATAGCTCCCTCGGGGTGTATCCCAGGGATTCCCCCTTTCTCTCAGCGGTCAAACTTTTCGGGCGGAACTTGGGGATTGGGGGAGAAACATCGCCTGCGACAGGAGGGCCCCCACGAAGCCACAACGAGCATCTGGCGAGAGGGGTGTCGCCACCTCCTCCAGGGAACGGGCCCGCCTGGACCCCCAGGACGATATGCAGGCTTCCGAACGAACAGCAACAGCGACTTCATAGCCCCGGAGGTGCATGGGACACTGAATTCGCATGCACGCGAGGCCTCCAAATGCGGCCTCGTTCGAGGTCAGATGGAAGCTCCATGCTCTCCACATTGCAACACTGATTGGGCGGAGGGGGGTAAGGAGAGAGGAGGGAGGTGGGGGAAGAAGGGGACGAGGGGGAACTGCACGACCAAAAAAGCGTCCCAAACCTCGGTCCTCGATCTCCCAGGGGAGCCGGTGATCCCCCAGCGCTGGTCCCCCCATTGGCACTCCCCAGAACAAAAGCGCGAGGACGAGGGATGGGCAGCGGCATCGGTCCCCTCCCCTCCCCTCCCCTGAGCAAGACTGGCGGCACGCACACAGATATTTCCTGTTGGCAAGTATGGCGCTCAAGTGGGGGCTTCTAAGAAGGCAGGGATCTTCTGAGAAGACCTCCCAGCTTCTCCCCCCCCACGGCGGC